ATTATTATTATTGTCGACCATTTATCAATGATGTAGCTTATTCGCCCCCATAATTGTCGATCATTAATACATGTATCTTTTTAAAAAAAAACCGTTATAATATTCGGGCGACTGGTTTATATCATGCTGTATTTTTTAGACGACTATCGATTTCCTGAAACTTGAACCGGTTTGTAGGTAAAACCGAACCGACTCCGACTAAACCGACTAATCGTCACACCCTTATATATAACACCTCAAATCAACATACATTGTATCCGATAACTTGTCTGTGATATATTTTCGGTGGAAGCCGAAGTTAAATAAAGATATTTCACACACATGGCGCTTATAGAGTTCAGTAATTAAAATGTAAGTACAAATCTCGCGAGACACGTGAAATTAAGAGATGTATACGTGCTGAATCCAATACGCCTGATGTTCGAGAAAAGATTCAATTTTGATAGCATATTGTCGGATTTATGATCATATTTTGAAGGGGGTTTATGTCTTTAAATAAATAAATAAACACGCTAAGAAATGTTGACGAATATTTCGATTGGAATGACGTAAGTAGTTAATTGTTTTAGACGATGGCGCGTGCTACAGTTGAATGCAATTATTTAGAAGTTGGTTACACTCGCTCATTAGGGCGTCGTTAACTGCGGTTTACTGCGAAATAAATTTCGGGATGTCATTTTTTTACCTTCCGTATATAAATCGAAACGGAGTATCAGACAAATGTCGGACTTTGCTGAAAAATGTACCGACGTATGACCCGAAAAATACGGTAATTTTGGGGGAGTTTGAAACAGATCAGCAGCAGTCGGCACGCTGCCAATTCTATAGTATTACGATGTCATGTAATTTTGTAGGAATATTATTGACATAAATTTGAATACCGTACGGGTTTTAAACATGAAATATAACGAGGTGCACCTATGTTTTTTTTACATATGAATTTGAATATATTTTGTTGACACATGATTCTTAGTTGTGTTTTGAAAACGTCTGCTTAAATTACGGTAAGATTTATGCCCCTTTATTTTCGAGAAAAATGTCTGACATGAAAATTTTGAAATCCCATCACTGGTATAAATGTAGTCATACAAAATATACATGTGCATGAAGAAAAATGTTTTTAACCCCCGTATCTTTTACAATGGCTTGTCTCAAGGTCCGGCATTGAAACTCTGATAATTTAACACCGGAAAAACAAATGTGGTTTGCAAGAATACATTTTTGACAATTAGAAAACAGTCAAAAAGGTTTATTCAGTTTTGATTAAAAAGGGATTAACAATAAATACATATGTAGGTGGAGAGCAAGAATCCCAATTAAACATTGTGACGGATGATGGAAAATGTCATTCTGAGTCTGTCAATAGTGAGTAAGTCTTTCCATATAATACACATGTATGGATGGTAAATTACCATTGGTAATCTAAGGCTATCGATGTACATGTATACATGTCAGTAATTGTGTCAAGAGCTTATTTCAGGTCTTCACATCTAAAAACATGGATAGAGAACAAGCTAAAAAAAATTTTAACTTTTGGTAAAATCAGTGGCCATAATCCAGGAGCAGCCATTTTCGTACAATCTGGGGCCATAATCCATGAAGTTTCGACCCAATACATGCCAATATCAAAAGGAGCCAAATCTTTGAGATAAACTTGCATTTCAAGTTTCATCAAAATCGGATAAAAATTGTGACCCTTAGACCTGTAGAAGTTTTCACGCCAAAATTAACCATATTACATGTATGTGGTGTGAAATGCTCTTGGAGAGGGGTGATATAGGCTTTGTCCTGTTCCCCAATCCTTTCAGTTATCTGAATAAATATTGTTTATATAAAAAAAAAATGCTGTATATGGCAGACCTGTGGTGCCTTATATGGTAATCAAAGAATAGTATTTTCATGCGAGATCCTGGAATAATGCCGCTATCGCCGAGAATGTAAAAATGGAGTCTTGGCAGAAGTTGTGCATAATGGATTAGCTGAAAATCAGTTACTTGGTGTTTATTAATAAATAATAATAGGGAACACTTTTGGGTGGGTTACTGTGTATGGTGTTGGTGTGTTAGGCACATTTAGTTGCCCACTGAATGTTTCTTTCAAGAGTTGGAAAATTGTTAAAATAGCGTGATGTCGACCACATTCATGACCAATTCTTACAAAGGGAAACGATAACAGATTAAAATACTGACATCGGTACAGAGCTAATTAATGGGAAGTAAATATGACTTTTGGGGAAATACATGTAAAATATACAGATGGGAGAGAGATTTTGGTTGATCGAGGAGAGCAATAAAATACGCACCTAGATTGGGATTTAAGCAAGCGCTAGAGTGTCTGAGTGACAGCATGCTTCAAACGTGAAGGTCTGTTATTTCATAGAGAAATATCATGCAGACAGAGTGAGCGGTATTTCCTGAATGCTCTTAGGCAATGGGATTTAGTGGAGGACAAAAATTAAAAAATATCTCCAGAACTAAATTCCAAATGGGATTAATTGTCTTCATGCCTGTAATATTCTGATTTGTAGAGTTTACAAGCACTGCAACAAGGTCCTGTACATGCAGTTCATTAATGCACCATATGACAACTACAGTGCAAGCGCTGAAATAAGCGTCCGGACACGGACAATGTCCGGGCGAATTGACCCCTTTTGACAGGCCAAATTGCCTTTCGTCCGGACATAATTGTCCGACCGTGTTTTTGTAAAACATTATGTCAAAAATATTTGAGTCGATCGCTATTTATTAATAGACTCGAAAGTCCAGAACCAAAAATATCAATGACCCGAGTCATAGTTAAAATGTTACTATTTATATCTCGGCCGCGTGCAGATAAAATCTTCAATAATTTTTAGAATCGATCACTCTTTTACGCTGGTTATATCAACGACCCGAGTCATAGTAAAAATATTACTATTTATACATGTATCTCTCTCGGCCACGTGAAGAAAAAATAATGAATAATATTGAGAATCGGCTCTTTTACACTGGTTATTCGAGTCTCGTAGCTAGCTTTGCGTTACTTTCGTATATGATTAGCTCTAAATCACACCTAACGTGACATGTAATTATATAAATTATTAGTAATAAAAGTAATAATATTTTAAAATTAGTTTACAAGAAAATGTCCAAGTTGACTATGGATGTAATTAGGGACAGATTTTTTTATACGAAAATATCTCACTTTGTTGGACACTTCCAATGTGAATGTAAATAGAAGAGCCGTGAAAACATGTCGAATAAAATAACTTCTTACTTTTCCCAACCCTCGGACACGGATATCCCGGCTAGTGGGACCGTTCCAGAAAATTCAAAGACTGGTACTGTGTCTTAATCTTATGTCTCTCATAAAGACACTTCTAAACGGGGGGCGTCGCCGTCACCAGTTGGAAAATTACAAAAACGAGCCGTAGAACTAGAAAAGTGGATCAAAAATGACTTGGCAGATTCTGAACCATTTACGACAACTCAAGATGTCTATTCTTTAGTTAAATTTGAATCTTAATCAGAGTTTTTAGGATTTAGTCCCCAGCCCCACCAAAGAGATTAATGACATTATTATATGAACTATAAAGTTGTATTCCATATACATATAAAAACTTTAAACTCCAGGTTGTATGTGAGTCATCAATTTATTTTATTAATAAATATGTATGTATAATAATATATATAAACATAGTAAATTTCAACAGTTTTTTGGTTTAATATACTTTATAAAGTATTTGTCAGGCTGAAAATCTGAAATGTCCGGCCGAAAATCAGTTCAGCCTGACATGATGTCAGGCTGAACCTTAGCAGTTATTTCAAGGCTTGCTACAGTGGACTGTCAAATCCAATATCGTACAGGATCGTTACAATATGTCGGATTACGCAGAGTGTCGGAATACTCAGTTTTCTCAAGGACGAAGTAACTTCGAAAACCGGAAGTATTATTATAATGTAGCTTTGAATTCCCAGAAAGTAGGCATTTTAAATAGGTCAAGTCTGTCGTTAATTTATCTTCTTCAGTTGATCAAACACTTGTCTTTGGTGTCACTTGTTCATTGATAATCTGTCGTTCTATGCCCAGGTTGTCGTCACAGTTCGGATAGATTCGTAGGGTGAACAAACTTAGGTATCCAAAGGTCGGATGTGACACGAGTCCACTGTACATGTAATACATGTAGGTACATGTATAACTAAAATCCATATTTCCAAGCATAGCCATAACATTGATTCTTCATGTACTAGGGCTGCAACGATATGCCGCGAGATGCTATAGTATACCACGGTTCGGGTCACTGTATTTTAAACTGTACAGCAGTTCGGTACACACGGTGCATGAGACGGGATACCGCTGTATACATGCCATGGTTCGCTTGTTAACTTTAAATCCTGTACTGTGATTCGTTAAACACGATATACTTGTAGATTTCTTTTTTTTTTAACCACCCGTTTTCTTCCCAAACTCAACTATCACACAGAGTTACAGTATGTTTCCCTGTTGTTCACGTGAAAATAAGGAAAAATGGCTTCTGGCAGTTTCCTGCCGAAGTTATGTTTACCTCCACTTAACCATAAATCTTGCATATTGCCAATTGGAACATTTTGGATTTAGAGATGGATAAGATCTGACCAATGATGTAATAAAGTGTTGCCATTGGGAAAACATCAACCATAGCAACACATGCAAAATGCCACCATCAACAAATAACCATTGATGTCAATCGTAAATTCGTAAGAACATAAAAAAAACACACACACCCCCCACCCAAACACAAATGTGCATGCCAAATGCGATAAAAATTAAACTACTCTGCAATTCTCCTCGATCTCTTCGTACCAGCTACGAATTTTCTGTTTCTCACGAGAAGAGACTATGATGATAAATTTTAGTCGATTCCCGACCCGAGCAAAAACACGGACGGTAAAATTGATAAATTTACAGATGAGATTGGTAGATACACTCATTCGCAATGCTATCTATTCTTTATTATGTAATACTAGCATAAGAATACGTACCGAAAAAGTAGGCCCTTACGACCACTTTCAAGCTCGAAATACTGTAAACCTCTCCAAGATTCTATTGTCTTTAGCAACTCCGTCCTCGTTATTCAAAATCCAAAATGGCGTTACATGTCAATACGCATGCGTCAGGAAGGGCACCTGTTAAACGATTTACAATGCTTGTTTATAAATACTCATGTAGAATATAGTTCCACATTTTGTTTTCACAAATGATTAATTTCTTTCGTTGCTGTTTTATTTATGATAATACATAAATTAATACCACGATTTTATATTTGAGTGCATATACTAACTGAATTCAGGTTTTCAATTTTGGGGAAGATTACTTGATATCCATACGCAGTGATTTGACAGTTTGGAATGTCAATAATAGATTGACACTAGAACAATCACAAGTTGTCAATTTCACGCGTGTATCATTTATTTCGTGCATTTTGCTTTTCGTCGAGGATTTATTTTTTTCCCAATATTATTGATAAATTTTAGACGCATTTATTTATACACGTTCGATTTATATATACACATCTTTCTCAACACTAAAGAGTAGGTCTATATCTATATTTTAAAAAGTAATAACCTGTACCTGTATTTAATTTACCTGTGACGATTACCTGTCACTCCCTGATCGGAAATTATTATACATGACTCACAAATAACTAAATTATGTCAGTGGAGACACTTTCAATGCGAGGCGGGTAGAGTTTTATCTATACATGTATATTCATTTTTTAAACGCAATTTATTTAAACATGTGTTGTTGTTTTTTTCTTATTTGCTTAAATAATGTGAGACACAAATTAGATTTGAGACTATCCGCTTTGTGACCATCATTAAAATCCAAATTGAAAGTCCTACAGATATAATCCTAATTGATTCGTCGTTAATTAATGACGCCCTACCAATTAGTGTAAGGGTTATTTAGATAAGTGTTTCTAATACATTGGAATGATTGCTTAGATTTGGTTTATGGTTCATGATTAATTAATCTGTTTGTAACGCGGACTTTGTTTGTCCTCAATAAAGAGTAGTTATCACTTTCAAAAAAAAAAAATATGAAATTATTCCTACTTAAATTAACTGTAGACTTGCTTGGATATCTAAATGTCTAGATCATTGGTCCAGTGCTTATTAAATGTTTCTTAAAAATCAGTGAAAGTTGATTTATAATTTCGGGCAATAAAATTTTTCGGGTAGACGGGTAAACTGAGAAAACAAATTTAATATATTTGCAAAAATAATTAGAAGTGCCTGAAATCCAGTACACGCGACCAGATAATAAACGGTAACTGTTTCTATCATTTATTCTGCCTTAAAATCATGAAAATGCATAAAATAATAACTGCCAGAGAAATGTAAATTCACTTTTCTTGGATTAAAGAACGAGGGGCATAGAAAAATTATTACCAGTTCATTAGTCCAGTAACCGTTTCGTTACCCTGGTAATTTCCCTTTAATTACGTTTCGTGTTAAGTGTCCCATGCCCAGTTTCACACAGTAAAACAGCAAACCCATATATCTGTATGTGGGCCAGGGTCACCCACCCAACCAACAGTAGGATTTTCGTCGGAGAATATGCATGGCTATCGGCCAAATTTGCGTGTATGTTAGAATGAGTGAATTGAGAGTGACGCAGAGTTTCCGTGTTCGATCCCGGCGTTGACCGAGAACTCGGAAAGTTCATCGAGATTTTCCGGCGTGGTTCCCACGTTGTCATTGGTGTAGGACGGTGGGCCTGCCAAGGGACAACGTATAGTCGTTCGGATGGGACACATAACCGAGGTCCCGCGTACACATAGGTATACACGTAAAGCCTTTGACATTTGGAATTCGAATTAATAGTAGGCCGTAGCACCAGCGGAGCAGGGCAGTTTGACATTAAACCTCATTTCATTTCCTGACATTAAAAAGATGTTTTGGATTTATCGACCGTGATTTGGCTATACAAGATAGATTATTTGCAAAATTAAAGACAAATCTGCAAAGTATAGACATCTAAAGGGTGATAGCTTTATTCCTTGGAACCGTAACTTTTATATTTATTTGTTGTATCAAATGATGTATTGTGTATCGTATTTAAAGAAGTTTAAAGGGTGTAAAGTTCTAACTCAATATAACCCAGAGTCTTAGACATTACAAACACGAATTATTGGTCCATTCCAATCAATGGTGATGTTATCTTACCGTGAAAATATGAGCTCTTGATATCCAATATTTAAGACGTGGTGAATAATTCTAAAACCAGTACACGCCGGTGTGTACTCTATGCTCTCGAGCGCAATTTGTAATGAGGAGAAATGATGAATGAGTTTAAACGTTAGTGCTTAAGTGAAATGTACTTCCGATGCGAACGACTGCGATTTAATTTGGGCCGCTTATTTATTTCGACGAGTAAAACTGATTAGAAATGCGATAAAAGTTTTATAAAAAAAATGATTGTAAATCAGTTTATATATACACTTATATTTTATTAATATGTGCCTTTGTTGGTCCGTTTTAGGTTCCAACGAATTGAGATTTAGCCTCTTTAACAAAAGTTCGTGAACTATAAGTATAGAACTTTCCTGGAATTTTCGATAATTAGGTTAAATTAAAAAACATTCTCAGTGTGATATTCTTTTCTTGGTGATAGTGATATAATGTAGGCTATCTTATATCTTGTATTTGACAGTCGGGAATTTGTCCGCCAGCATTCCGAAATGAAATGAAATGAAATGGGGTTTAACGTCCTACTGTTCTGCTCCTATACTGGGCTAATGAAGACGGGCATACGCCATACAGTGTGCTATGAGGGAAATTTTGCCCGGGCAGCGGCACTATCGCCTACTCTTATATCGAATTCCAACTGCCAAGGGATCTTTTACGTGCATTCTAATGTATACACGGGACCTCGGTTTTTCGTCTCATCCGAAGGACTAGACAGCTGTCCTTGTCAGGCCCTCCGTTCTGCACCACTGACAAGGGCGCCAGCATTCCAATCACCCGACCAGGTCTACAAACCAAGAAACCCGACAGAAGAAATCACCAGTAATAACCCCATATTACTACACCCCTTTCTTCATTTGTTCGTACATATCTAATATTATTTTAATATATTTACGAATCTGTTTGTTTTTCGACCTGCAGATAATTTGACTTTGAATTGAGGATTATCAGGAATTTGATTTACATGTTTAATAAAACCGCCAAACAATTATAAAATTAATGTAATAATGGCATTTTAATTTATCTACCGGGGGGTTGGATGGCCGAGTGGTTAGCACGTGCGTGCTGTATCATAAAGCCTGTCATTGAGTCAACTGGCGTGGTTTCGAAGGATAGTTTGGATATAGTTCTACTCAACCAGACGTTTTCTCTTATTTTATTTTTTTAGTAGGCCTATATATTTTTACAGATATACTACATTATGGCATACGAAGACGCTCGAGTAATGACAGACAGCTAGCTTATGATTTGATATGCATATATGTCAGAATGAAGAAGCAAAAGTGGCTGATACTTTTAACTGGAAGTTAATTGGGTGGGGGGGGGGGGTCATCTACCGTGAAAATATGAGCCCCTGATATCCAATATTTAAGACACAAAGCCGTAAATGCGAGAAACAATCTCTTTGATTTAGTGTCGAGAAATTCTTTTTGCGTCGCTGCAATTTAAAATGTATGTGCGTATTCAGATTTCTGCAAATAATTTTGATCAACCCCACGTGGGGCTTGGCCAGCGCACACTATAATAAAAGGGCAAATATGTTTCAGCCTACTTGTACAGTTTCAAATTACGGAGGTCGTATATAAACAACCAATTCAGTACGGGGAGTTGGGATAGTCTAGTGGTCTAGAGTGTTGCGCTTGACATCTAGCTGACCGTTCACCTCTGGCTTGCGGTTGTTGTTTCGATCGCAGGTGTGAGCTTATGTGGCTTGGAGATAGGGGGGGGGGGAGCCTTCTCAACCTCGTGGGTTTACTCCGGGTACTCCGGTTTCCTCCCACAGGAAAGACCCCTACGCTGAAGTAACGAGCGGTAACAGACAAACGATCGAATTTCATTTCACTGATAATTCCGTTGAAGATGAAAAGTTGTTATATGAGACGAAGAGAGGATATCTGACAATTCAAAAAAAGAATAGGCTGTCAGTATATAAAAGATAACGAACAAATTAGAAAAAGTCCGTGCATTACCATGTTTTTATTAAGAACAGAATGAATAAAAACGGGGGAATGCACGGGGATTTTTCTACTTTTTCTCGTGTCCCCTATTCAGTGACGGCCAATTCTATTTTTGAATTGTGAGATACCCTCTCACCGTCCCATATAATAACTTTTCAACTTCAACGGAATTATCAGTGAAATGAAATTCGATCGTTTGTCTGTTACCGCTCGTTACTTCAGTCTGTTATATAGAAGGACAACTCGTGTTTTTCATGTTTGGCGTCACTTCCCGTTTCTTCACGTGCTTGTTACACGTCTCCCGTAGCAATGATCTCTGTGTTAAAATTATATTTGGAATGTATTTAACCAGTTCTATTATATATGTAATAATGACTGACACCAATATTGTCCTTTAAGTGGCTGAGACTTTGCACGAAAATTTTTATTTTCATCCGAATTTTGAGAATGAATCGATCATTAACTAAAACGGGTTTTCCACAAATGTTATTGCGCAAGGTCTTAAGTATTATAGTATTCAAAACGTAAACCGCGAGCTGTATCATTTTACAATTATACAATTAAATTTCTATGATATATTGTCTCATTCCCTGATGTTTGTGCCCGAACAATGGACAGTTCATCGAATGAGGGGTGGGGAGACGGGGGTTGTAGCTCCTACGCCTACGCAACTCTTCTTTGATTTTCACCCACCTAGAGATCTTTTACGTACACGAGATGTATACATGAACCTCTCTTTTTTGTCCCACCCGACGAATTTCCTTCTCCGTTCCTCCATAAGCAAGCTGAAAAATCCAGAGGAACTTTGAAAGAGTTACCTCCCTTTACTTATAAAATAAAGAAAGTGAGTCTTTCGGATAGATTTCGTTTAGTTTTTCGCACATAAGTTAATCTGAATAGCTTTATATGAATAATTTAAATGTATACGAGTGAAGGCCCAGCATGTCAGAATAAGAGATAAACATGCAGAGAGTTTTTATAAGATTA